TATTTGGATTACCATTGGTAAGTGCTAATAAAATAATAATAATTACGTTTTAAAATAGATTATTGTGGAATTATTACAAGCATTTTTTTTAATTTATAAAGTATTCATTTAAGAATTACCAACGATAATGTAAAGCCCCCGTAAGTAAAGATAACCAATGACGTGATGCGTTTCATTTGAAACAGATTATATCATTGGTTAGCTTACAGCCTGTCACCTAGGTACTGTACATCCTCCGTAATCTATTATAGAAAAACTTACATTATTGATTTTTATATTTGATTACAATGCAAATAAAAATTGTTTTATTAAACTACAATTTAAATATTTTTGCCTTTAATAAATACAGATTCTTAATTATACAAATAAGTCTTATGCTTTTTGTGCATAAGTAGAATAATATGAGCAACTTTATAATACCCTAAGGCATAAACTCTAACTACTTTTTCCTTAATAAATCATAAATTTATCTTTAAAATCTATTTTTAAATGTTTTTAGTGTTTTATAAACTCGGGATTTTTCATTATCTCTAAATATATCGCATCATAAATATATCCTGTTATTGAAAATTGATGAAAACATGTTATTGGATGTTCGAGTAGATTAAGTTCAATGTTCTATTCACTTGACATAATAATAATAAGCATATTAACATTAAGTTTACTTTGAATTAGGGCTTGAGAGACTGAGACGGAGTTTAATGTAAATAAAACAAAAATAAATAAATTGTTTCTCTAATTATTAAAATAAACTTCATATCTCTTACTCGTTATGTTTTTTTACATTGAAAAAGTCCAAAATTTTGGGCCTATCTATGTCAGAATAAAAATACAGTCGACCCCCTATAACACTGTTGATTATTCCATTTTATATGAATTCCATATTGTACGAGTCACTTAGATTTTACAAATATGTATGCCAGGTTGTGAACGGCTCACATATTTGTAAAATCTAAGTGATTCGTACAACATGGAATTCATATAAAACGAAATAATCAACAGTGTTATAGGGGATCGACTGTAAAAGCGTTAGGTCTAAGCAAGAATCATACCTAAAACTACTGTATGACTACTTATTTGTCGATATTTTATGTAGAATATCCAGTATTAACTAGGATCCGACATCCTGTACAATATTAGACTTACATATAAACTATCTGTACATTGTACGAGACTTTTTATATAAAAGAAGTCTTGTACAACGTGTAATAGAAAGCGTCTGATGTAGTAAAAGACTGACGCTCTGAGGAATCCGGAAATTATTCATGAGTAGTCTGTCCCGGTACTTTGCACGATGAGGCAAAGAACCTTCGATCGGCCAAGTCACAAATCGTATTAAAAGACTTTTATTGACCTCCCTTCGATGTATCAAGTCTTAGTTGATAGGAAAGTCCAAGTGGTAAATTTGCTTACAGTCCGACCGGGTTTTAATTTTTGCTGTTCAATAATGAATATTTATTATAGTAACTGCTTTTGTTTCTTGCTCGTAATTGTTCCCTTTTTTTAAGTATTCGTGTTTTTTTCACATAACATCGGCGCACTTACTGGCTTCACTGCTCACAATGTGGGGTTTTCTTTCAACTTCTTCCATCCTGTAGAGGTCTTTTATAGGAAGCGCGTAGTAGATTCAGCCAGGCCCAAAATGAGGCATCCAGCGGTAAAGGACGGACACGACTTATCCGGACGGAGTAACCCCCCCGAAAAATCAATGGAGTTTTTCGGCCCATCCGAACTGAATCCTCCAGAGCGCTAGGTTGCCACTCTAATTGTTCGGGCATCGGACCGTACAATGGTCGGAAATTGAAGGTAGAACCCAAACATATCTCTATCAATTCAGCAAATGATGAGGATTGAAGAAAGATCTTCTCAGTACCCATAGACGACCNGTAATTGCTTTTGTTTCTTGCTCGTAATTGCTCCCTTTTTTTAAGTATTCGTGTTTTTTTTCACGTAACATCGGCGCACTTACTGGCTTCACTGCTCACAATGTGGGGTTTTCTTTCAACTTCTTCCATCCTGTAGAGGTCTTTTATAGGAAGCGCGTAGTAGATTCAGCCAGGCCCAAAATGAGGCATCCAGCGGTAAAGGACGGACACGACTTATCCGGACGGAGTAACCCCCCCGAAAAATCAATGGAGTTTTTCGGCCCATCCGAACTGAATCCTCCAGAGCGCTAGGTTGCCACTCTAATTGTTCGGGCATCGGACCGTACAATGGTCGGAAATTGAAGGTAGAACCCAAACATATCTCTATCAATTCAGCAAATGATGAGGATTGAAGAAAGATCTTCTCAGTACCCATAGACGACCGGATGACCGGCGTCAATCTACTGTTTAAGGAATGGAGATTCGAGTTCCAGTCTGGAACTTCAGGAATATTTCAGGGGCAAGCTGTCCCAAATATGTCAGTCTCAACCCCTCGCCATCCGATCGCACCTGGTAAAACTCATGATTGGTCTAATATAATGAATAATGATTAAATTAGATGTAAAAAGGAAATAAATATATACTACACTATACTTCTAACTGGTTAAGTAAAGAGTGAAGTGTGAAATTTTGTGGCATGAGTTATGATACACAATTACCTAAACATTAACATGGCTGAGGAAAATTAATCTTCATTTCAGTCATAATCAGGTAGAAGTAATTTCTAAATACAGTATTGCTATTTTATTTTTACCTGGTAACAATGGGAACGAAAAAAGTAAAAATAAAAATAAAAATAAAAAGTTTAACCATTTTTTCATCCGTGAAGGACAAATTTTTCTTTTTACATATTCCTTCCGCGTAATAATGTAAATTACTTAATTTATTTAACAACTAGCTTGAAATAAATAAATTAATTTAAAGGCATGGAAACGTTTGTTGTACTTACTAAATAGGTTTTTACAAAAGGAAAGATTTGATAGAGTAGATTTAAATTATTCAAATTT